CTCTCTTCTCTTACCCTTTCTCTCTCTTCTTTCTCTCTCTCTCTCTCTCTCTCTTTCGCTCTCGCTCTTCCGTGCTCGCTTTTTGTCTCTCTGCTGCTCGCTGCTCAAACCAACGCGGATGAGTGCGAGCGGGAGACTAACTTGCTGCTAACCGTCAGCTCCGTGACTGGCGTTAGAGGCGTCACGCGGGGACCGTGCGTTGTGCGCGCGCGCGCCGCTGCACGTCCGCTGCTGTGCTTCCGACGTTGGGAGTAGCGAGTTTCGAGGCAGCGTGCGAGAGATCGGCGTTGCTAGGGAGGTCTCCTGCAGCTGTGTGGTTCGCAACTATAGCACACGATACAGCTTGCCTCTACATTCGCTGGCTCTACCGCAGCTAGATCTACGGACAATTAGCGAAGCCACTATACTAGTTTCATCACTGCTAGCTCTACCACTGCTAGCTCTACTCTCTCCCTCGCACACTCAGAGAGAAAACAGTGAGTGCATGTGTTCAGTGGTTCTACGATGTTGCTCAACGTTGCGACCGCGGCGAATCGCTGTATTTTACACTAGCATAGACTCCTTCTTCATCGATCTATATGTATATATATAATCGCAGTGTCGCGTCGGCGTTCACGGCGATGTGCCGACGGGCCCGTGTCACGTGATTGTGCGACACGCCGGATTATTGTGACTCCATGGAGAGCAACGTTATCGGCGTTGCGTGTGCGAACGCACGTCTGAACCGTCACGGTAAGTCACGCACACGCGTGTTCACGCTGCGGGTCATCACGGAAGCGCGTAAAAAAAATATGCGTAGCAAATGGCTGAAAATACATCGCGAATTGCGATGCGATACCGGGAAAATTATTCCCTGCATTAAGCCTAAAAAGTTTGAATACTATTTAATCCTAACAACTTTGGTCTTTAACTTTCGTGTACATCTTAAAAACCATTCTCATATGTCAACATCACCTTTCTCCCACATGCCGAAGAACACCCACTGCACCTTCCCCACTGTTCCTGCACTGTCGATGTTTCGTTGCTCATGCCATGTTTTACGTGACGCAGTGAGGGTGAAGCGACCGCGGGCGTACGTCAAGGATGTCTCTCCGACTGAGATGGTGGAGATGACGCCCGTCGCTGTGACGGAGATGCCAACAATCGCCGACGGCGCTGTGCGCGAGTCCAACAAGGTGAGCATGTGCGTGTGACGGCAGCGGCAGATAAGCATGCGGCGGTGTCGCATAGTCATGCTTGAAGCTTAAAACTCTTTAGTGCTGCACCACTGGCACCTGACAAGTGCCAGACCACAGTAAATCCTGGACCACAGAATTTGCCCTCTAAGTAGCCACAGTGTAAACAGTTGGCTGATACTAATGCAAAGGCCTGCCAGATCACTCTACATACATATTGCGGTGGCGTAAAAGGTTGAATGAGGCTTAAAATAGGAACTACGATTCCTGCCAGAAAGGGTTATAATTGTTTCATGCACCTACAATATAAAGCTTAACAGACGGAATAAAACATGCCAGACCAATCAGGTTGCCAAAGCACAGAATGCCAGAATAAAGAGCCCCAACCTTTACTGCAGTCTTGTTGTTTTTCTGTTAAAGGGTGAGGTATACTGCCCCTTTTTAAATTGGAAGTTATTTAGAAGTATATTTTATTTTGCACAATTCTTGTTATAGTAGTTCTAGTAAGGCACAAAAATCATTTAGATTTTTTTCGAGTATGTTAAGGCAAGTTGGTTTGCGCAGTACAGCATTCAGTGGTAGCTGAAGATGTCTCGTGTGTGTGATGCTGCAGACGACTCAGTGGACAGATGCAGACTTTGCACAGCTCTGCAAACTCATGGTCAAGTACCCGATCGGCATTTATGAACGTTGGGAGAAGATCGCCATGGCAATGCATCGCGACACAGACGACGTCATATGTCACGCCAAGCAGCTCCGTAGCCGTGGTTACTCGATGAACGTCACAAACTCCATGCAAGGTATCGTCATAACGACAGCATGGTAGTTAGTTATGTTAAAGAGTATTAAAATAACACTTGTATTCATTCACACCATATATGTCACCTGGAAGTATAGACTAAGCTAAAGCTGAAGCTGATTTAAGGAGTTTCTGGCTAGAAATGGATCGTGCAAAGGCATGTGAAAATCAACTTTATATACTGTATGTGTACATGGGATATAAAGTCAGTACTGGTGTGTATCACAGTCATTATTCATGAGCCTAACATCTTGAAAGTGGCATTTGTAGTTGGGGCCTCACACATTCCCTTAAATGTTGCATACATAGCCCACATTTTGAGGCTCGTTATTCGAGACAGCGCGGTAGCTAAAACGTGACGTTTTGCCACCACAAAAGTTCTTTTGTGAGACTTTACCTCACTTCTGATAATTTTCCTTAGGAATCACGGGTACAGAAGGGCATTCCTTGGTGAGGGACGATCAGTTGGAGACCTACCTGGAACGATCCCACTCAGAGCACGTACAGACCCAGTCTGCCCCGAACGGATCCAGCTTACGCATTCGAAAAATGAAACCGCGTGAAGCTGAAACTGCCGCCGCCGTGTCGGGCCCATGCAGCACTAATGACGTCAGTCAGCAGCAGGTGGCACCAGCAGAGGTGCAGAGCAGGTCAACGTCTAAATTATCAGGCGACAGTGCTGTGGAGTGGACTCGGCCTGAACAAAAATTATTGGAGTGCGCATTGGTGAAATTCCCAAAAGGGACGCCTGATAGGTGGATGAGGATTGCAGAGGCTGTGCCCAGCAAAAAACCAGTAAGTTGATAAGTTTTTTGGGGAACATGCAGTTGTTTTTCTTGTCGTCATCGTTACTGTTATTGCTGATGTTGTTGTGCTTGTGTGTGTATCTTCTTATCCTTGAGTCTCATAAGTACCATCAGTGGAACCTTAGTGTTTCCATACAAAGTGTGTTCTTATCTTTTTAAAATCGTACCGTGGTTGCCACCGTAACATTTCATAATATTTATGGCAAACATTTTATATATAGTATTAGTGTCTCCAAACACCTATTCGTTCATTCATATTATGCTTTCAGGACCATTGTATGGCCCGGTATAAACTGCTAGCAGAGATGGTAAGGAAAAAGAAGCAGCAGCATTCCTCATAGCACCCATGTTGAGCGATTTTCTTTTGAGGAGAAGGACGGTGTCATTGATGCAGAATCTCTCTGCTAGTCGTATTGGTTGGTATAAACTGAAACCAGTGAAATCACTGGTCTTCAAGCATGATCTGATGTCATTGTATATTACACATTTTTAATGCATAATTTGCATAAAGCTTCTGGTGAAGTTTTCACGTCACACAAAAATCCACAAATCACATCATTATTCCCTAAATTGTGTTCATTACAGCTAATATGTTTGGAAAAAAAAATCATTATCCAGCTATCTCGTGTTATAAGTTGTGTATTATGTAATAAAACGTATATACCTTCACAAACATGAAACTCCGATTTCATGGATACTGTGATTAGCTATGCAGGTCTTTGCTTGCTCATTATAGTGTGACCATGAATGATGCGATGTGCCCTGCATGCAAATGGTTCATAAAGTGTTGTTATAATGTGTTCATAATGCGAGTTGTTTCATAAAGCTTGTAGTATTTCTATGTACGACCTATGTTGTGTTGAGCATATTATAGAAGTTTTTAATCAAAAATTTATTACATTTTGTTCTGTAATTTGTTATGAACAAGGTGTTAGTTGCAAAACAATTTGACAGAAATGCACTTTCTTATGAAGTAGAAACTTTAAATAACTTAAAAAGTTATGATAGGTGTAGCATTGCAATGTGATATTATTACACATTTTGTAGTACATCTGAACTTTCGAACGCGGTTTTTTCTACATTGCGGATTATGAAAATTTCAGAATTTTTATTATTACCTTGGTTAGTGATTTTTGATTCGGTAGCATATAGTGAGGTTTAATTAATATAGAAAATTATATAGAAAAGTAATTATGCAGCTATATGTGGTACGGTGCGTGATCGGGTATTTAATACAGTATTCTGCGAGCTGTCAGGAATGAGTCGAGACGTGTTATGAATTTTCTTACGTATTACGTAATATCTGTATATATAGATTAACTTGTGGCATTGTGAATGAGCTGAAGGTGTATGTCCATGAGTAGGCTGGTGCTAGATTTGTACTGTAATTGCGTATACCAACTGCTACGCGATTTGCAATGTAATCGATTGTAATCGTTATCAATTCCATTTTCAATGATTAAATGATACATTATATTTATTAATTTTGTAATAAACAGAAAGATTTTAAGCAATTGCCATGCTAATGTAATATATTGTAGTATGCCAACGCCAAAGTAATACCATGCTCCTACGCATTTTAGTGAAAGTTTGGATAGCCTAATGTATTTCGATGGACTGCGTGCCGGCAGATGGCGGTACATGGTAACATTGGCTCGCAGTAAGTGCGGGCCATTGATTTTCTCCGGTCAGCCAAGCATAGGAATGAGCAAGAACGTGAAAATAACTCTCATCCCCCTCTCTGTCTCTCTTTCTTTCTTTCTCTCTCTCTCTCTCTCTCTCTCTCTCTCTCTCTC